GCCCAAAGTACATTATATCTAATATAGTTTGATCAGCTTAAATCATGTTTGTTTCCCAGGCAGGCTCGTATGGGCAGTTGACATAAAAAGGTGTGAATATTGAAGAAATTCTGCTATGTCTACCTAAGTTAAGTGAGGAATACTAGCTTTGTGTTAATGTAACATTGTTAGTGGAAAAAAAAACTGAGTAAAAAGAGGCATTTACTCTTTCTATCATTCAATAAAAAGCACTGCAGTAAAGCAAAGGAACTCCCATATGGTGCTCTGCTTTCCTTCAGATAGCATGTTTCAGTCATATTTTGTGGAGGTAGAAATTATGTTGGGGGCAGGTTTCATGTATCTAAATGGAGATACTTATTTGAATAGAAAATACATCAGCAATTTACATATGACTGAGATACTAATGTCATTAAGCAACCCTAGATATAAATGCATTAAAAATACATATTCCAATAAGAGGACTGCAATCCTCAACAGTCTCACAGGACTCTCTAGCTGACTCAGGGGCTCAGATCACATCTGATTACATGTCAAATCTAAGACATTACAGTTACTCTAGGGAAAAGCATATTTCCATTGACATATGGTATAAACCTCATCATTTAGCCTAGAAGCAGAATTCATCCAGACATACACAGATTCATACAACCTTTTCTGAACTAGCACATTATTGCCAACCCTCAGCAATGATGAGCTGAAAATACTTGGTAACTTGTTGCACTGCATTTACAGGAACAGCTTGCAGCGTGGAGTGCTACTTCCTAGAATCTGGCCCTTAAGGCTTTGTGGTTCCTTTTTGTTAAAAAGACATCTCTACTGCTCCCTCATGTCTTGTTTTCTAGAATAACAAAAAATAGCAGTTTCATATTTTTTAATGATGTCTAGTAGATGTGTTGTTTTCATTTGTAGCATGTGTGAGGTGGCTCTTAGAGGTAATTTATCTTTGGTGGCAAGCTGCTGATGCTTGCACTCAGGTTGACTGTTAGTAATTAACACCTTCTGGTCCACTGTGGACAGTTTCCCACTTTTTAAGGTGTTAAAACTAATCTTCACCAGCTCTATGTCCCATAGCTCCATTTCACTGATAGGAGGCTTTTCTTCCTGATAGTGAGGGCTTTTCTTTTCCTCAATTCAGAGTAACACATGATGCAAAGGAGTATCTGGAAGTGTCCTGACAAGACTTTGTTAGGCAAAATCCTCTGCCAGATGAGGTGACTGAGCTGACATGATGTGTGTTAACACCTCCTCAACTCTGAGGTGCTGCCATGGACAAACACAGGTTTTGGCTGTGAACAGAAGGTATGAGAAGAAGACACCTCAAGAGAAAGAACTGAGGAGGTCTCTGTTACCTATTAAATTTTTGGTATATCACCAGATAAAACATGACATTCATTGCCTTACAATGCTGCATCAGTGACATTAATTTTATAGCATTGTTCTCATACAAAGAAAACTCCTGAAAAATTATATTCAGACCTCAGCCCTGGTGCATTAATGAGCATTGGACTGGAATCTCTAGTGGATACATATTTGTGGAAGTGGCTACTGGCACCTATGCATGCCTGAGAGTATGCATTCCTAACTGTGAAGAACCACTGCACCAAATCTTCAGGGAAATAATAATTTCAGTCTACATTTACATATAAACAATATTCAATTAATGTTCCAATATCCAGAACGAAAGAGTTTTCTAGATACCAGATTAATGATTTAATGTTAGAGTTCAACTGATGGAAAAAGTGATTTTGCATCAGGTAGTCAAATTCTTTCGCTTTCATGATCTCTACCTGAGCAGTATTCACATTTTAAGGCTCATACGAAAATCTTATAAAAACATCCTTTTTAACACTTCTGTCACTTTTTATTTCTGGTCATGAGAACAAAATTGCAACAATGATGAAAAGCCTTATCCATGTGGACTTCAGCGCTTAAAACTGTTGAGTCCCCTTTCACTGCTGTCAAACTGGCTCCCTATCTAGAGCTACAGGACAAGCTCCTTTTCTTTCCCCCACCATGGGGTCGAAGCTTTAAAGTACTCGGAGAATCTGGCACCTGCTGGACATGTGCATGTCCTGTGCTGTCTTACGACTTGTGGATTCATTGCAAGGTGGCAGTCCCAATATCTGCACTCGGTAAAAGGCTGTGATAAAATTCTTTTGGAAAAAAGCACCTTGAGCCATATTATTAAAATGTAGTGGAAGCTGCTGCTGCCCATAGACTAACTTCAGCTGCTGGAAGCTGGGCATATTACCACAAAAGGCTTTAGTCAGTGGAGCTCAGGAATCAGGAGCTTTAATCATCTGCTAATGATGATTTTCAGAGGCCAGTGCAAATTCTACGTTTTCATTATCACTCAGGGAGTTTACATGGGGTGAGAAGATGAACAGTGAGGGAAGGCCAAGTCAAAGGGGATCCACAATAAATAAAAATCTGGAAGTAGCTTCTAAATAAAAGGAGTTCCTTATGTCTCAGGGTACTACAGTTTTGAATCCAACAGAGAATTAAGGGGTTTTTTTGGCCATCTCCTTAGCCAGTACATTTCTGAAAACCTTGAGAGTAAGAAAGCAAGAAAATAAAAAGACAAAGGGATACAGTTATTTCTGACCACCAGCCAACTTATGATGATCTGATTTCTGAAGGAGAGAGGAGAATTTAAAAAATCTTAAATCTTGCATACAGGAGAACCACACTTGAAAAAAACCCCCAAACCTTCTGATGTCCTCAGCACTCAAAATAGAGTAATCCCATATAAAACTAATAACATGATGATGCAATTTCCATTTGTTAACAAAGCCAAACGATTAGAGCTGCTAGAGAAACTGCCTTAGTGGAACAAACACAGATAATGAATTAGGATAAAAACACAGGCAAAAAGACAATGTTAGGCTCTATCACTTGGCAATATTCAATGCTGAGCAAATTAGTTAGGTGCATAGTGCTAAACAATCCACCAGGGTTGTCACGCTGAGTGCTTGGATCACCAATTTCATTGCTTCTGTAGTGAATTTTGTTCTGGACTTTATTGGAGCAAAACATCTTTCTTTTTTGACAGCTCCTTTTCCAGACTGCTCCACTGGTATGCTTTACATTGTGCTCTGGTTGCTTTGTATGGTCTGTATTCAACCAAAGGCCTTCCCCAACTCTCATAACTTGTCCAGAAAATACTTTTCACATATCCCTAACACTTTCCCCATATGCTTTCCAAACCTATCTTACTGGCACAACAGACAGCTTTCACAAACTCTCTTTAGTCTACCATTATATTTTTGAAACAGCCAGTAAATTATTTATAAAGTACAGTTTTAATGCAGACTTTTATATGTGTAAAACAGAGTGCTTGATAGCATTTTTGAAATGTGGATATATACCAAGTGTCAAATGTTATTCTAAATAGAATTCTATAATGCCCAGCAGTATGCTGGCCCATACATCCTCTCAAGAGCTAGCATTTAAAATAAAATCAAATCTATTTTAAAGTCACAGGGACTTGGCTTCCACAGCATCTAAATCAGTCCCAAAAAGGACATTCTTAGGACAGAACTTGTGAACATCTAGGAAATCCTACACTCAGAAGAATTATTTTTAAACACAGTTCTCCAGAAAGATGCTGCTATGCACATTTTAAAACTTTTCCGGAGCAGCATAAGGTGATGCTTCCCCCTATGCAAACAGAAACACCATGATAACAGAACACTGCCTGAGCAATCTCTCCTTACACAAGTGCTGACACCTCTTTCACAGATTGGCCTTGATTGCTTCTGCAAAAACGTCAATGGTGACCAAGGTTTACAAAACTTAGGTTGTCATACATATACGTGCCTTGTGCTGGAGCACAGCGGTACATTTTTGACTGTTGATTTTTTGCATGGAATTTAAGTCCTTGTTTTGGAACATTTTATAGTAGTGTATCACAACACCGCACTATGAGTGAAGAACTTAAGCTTCAGGGTTGTTCCCAAATCATTTTTAAAAGATGCAACATCAAAGAATGATCAAAACATACTTGTTCCTGTAAGAAACTGTGAACCTCTCAGTACGCTGATAAATATACCGTGGCCTCATACATTTTGTAGTTCTTCTACTCCATAAAGCCCTTCCTCCCTTACATCAAGAGAGTCAAGTTGGGAAAGCACATAATATTTTTTCTTTTTTATTTTGCTTCTAATCCAAGTGTTCGGTGAAGGTGAATAAATAAATGATTAAAAAAAAGTGTGGGTGAGAAATGTATTTAAATGCATTCACCTCCCACACCTCCTGTAGACATGAAATCTCAAATAAAGGAGGGATAGGCAGGAAAGGCACAAAACCCTTATGTCAAACTGTCAAACAGAGAATCATTTGATACCCGGGACCAAAGTGTACTATAATGGATTTCTTACTTTGGAGACAGGTTGGTTATACAGGCGTTGCAGCAAAGCAGTGGCAGGGCTGTCGAGCTGCTCTGCCCACACAGCACCCCAGAGAGATGGCACTTTGAATCCCCTCCCTTTATCTTCTACTTCCCAATTGTTTAAAATTGGCTGCTTTTTTTTTTTTCTAACAATAGGAGAACTATGGAATTACCTTGATCAGCAACTTGAACTGGCAAGCTCTTCTTTGCTTGCATCTGAGCTCTCCCTTAGCCTACATAAGATGCAAAGCCCACTAATATTGCCGAGTAGGACACGCAGCCAAATCCAAAGCAAACCCTGAGTGTGTGATTTTGGTACTAATGAGGCAGGTAGGTGTAAGAAGAGCATTCCCATGAAAACAGTTAGGAAGTTAAAAGTACTGATGTTTTTTTTTGCTTTGCTTTTTCTACCACCATCATCAGGATCTTCTGACTCATTCTTTGCTAATGAAGACTTGTTGGGGTTTTTTCAGCTCATCCAATATGTATCACTAGGTAATGTAAATATGCAACATATGTTAATGGGGTATGTGTCACACTGCTTGTTGCTGTCCTGCAAAAGCCTTTATCTTTGCTGTTTTCTACAATACAGTTTCAGAGAGACACTTACCTTGTCTGACAGCCAGTGTTGTTGTGTAGACCAAGAACAGGAGGATATAATTGAGGAAGCTCTGAAAAACAGGTGTATTGGCATGGAAATCTTCTGACAAATACTTGCTTGTGAGACCAATGCCACAGATAAGGAGGGAAAGCACCTGGCCAAGTGCCACAGACAGCAAGAGATCCCTAAAAAGAATGAGAAAAACATAGAATAAAACACTCAGACCCCTTCCCAAGGAGGAATTGCACATCCTCTTCCAGGAATCATGTTCAACAGTGCTAAGACATGGGAAGAAAAAGGATTCTACACTCAATGAGGGATCTGCTGGGTGTAGTCAACATAACATTTCAATTATTTCTGCTCTTATCACTGGACTAAACATTGTCCAAACACTAGCTTTTATTAATAAATTAAACAACAGCAGATGGTACATCTCTACCATTTAATTTTGCATTCCACATTTCACATTTCACAGAGGATAAATGACAGTTCAAATTAACCAAAATACAGCACTGCTTTCTTCAAGCATCTCCCCTAACAGACAGACCCAGGAGTACCATTCAGACAGGTGAGAATCACAGCTCTTCCAGGACTTAGCCCCAGAGAAAAATCAGGGAAGGTTTTTATAGTGTTTCAGCATCAGCATGAATTTATTGTATCACCTGCTTCCCCTCATTTCATCCTCATTTCATCATATAAACTATTCTTTCCATCTGCTGTGCAAATATATATATCTTTTCCTTCATCATTGTCACTGCATATTTCCCTTCTGCTTGGTGGGAGCAGGAGGTTCCCCCTTTTTCACTTCCTGTCTTCTGGTTCATTAAAATGTATTTTTTTTGTTTGGCTTCTTGCTTTAATTTGTTCTTCTTGACTTTGATCTCCAGCCTCCTCTCCATTTCGGTATTACAACATTCCCCATTCTGACTCCCCATAGGTCTCTGATATTTGCTCCTTTTGTGAGTGTTCTCTGTCTTCCCATGGTTTTCTCCTCTTTACTCAAGAAACTGCTATAGCTGAAAGCCCACCCTGTTGCACCATCTATTACTTTTATATCCTTTCTTCATCCTTCTTACAGATACCCTTTTTGCTTCCAACTATCTTTGTCTCTTTTACTTTTCTCTTAGAACTTCATTATCCAACTGCACAGTCCAACTCAGCCCAAACAATCCTCCTTTTCCAAATTTTGTCACAGGACCTCCCATACCCACAGCACAGGAATATGTGTATTTTTAAACTGCCCCTAACAGGTTTCCCGGGTTCCCCATGCGTCAGTACTTTTGTGCTGACCAGGCCTGCTCCACAGCCACACCCTCCCCACGCAGCAGCACAAAAGGCAAAAGTGTTGGCCTGGAAGAGAAGCAAGCATGATGACTGCAAGGGAGAGGGGAAGGACATCAGAAGGGGACATTTAGTCCAAGTCTGGCCAACTGCTGCTGTCCCTGTCACCAGCCTGCAGAAAAGAGGAGCTGTAGGTCCTTGGGGAAACCCACGAAGGAGAGGGGAATATAAGAGAGGAGCATGCTCTGCAATGTTTAATTAGAGCCTGGTACAAGGAAAGGGGATTAGGAAATCCTAAGGGAGTAGAGGAAGGAAAGCAGCACTCTGCTGAAATGTACCAATAGCTCATGCATGTTCTCTCCTGCAAGATGATTTTTTAAAAACTGCTTTAAGGCTGCTGGGTTTTCCCTGACAGATTTTCCTGACTTCAGCTGTGCGTATTCAGCAGCAATGAGCACCTGTGCTCCCGCAACTTTCCTGGTAAACTCAAGTGTCAAATTTGTTTCCCTTTTTCTCACAAACAATCCTCCCGCTAATGTGTCTCGGTGTCAGTCATGGTGTGATTCAACAAACAGCCACTGGAAAGCACAGGAGGCTTGGTAGTTATATTCAGCTAACATACCTTGCTGACAAACAGCCCGACACAGATAGTAAGAGAACAGATTTTATTGTGCTAAACTTCTTGTTTTGATGGGAGACTGCTCGATAAGTAGCAAGCAGGACTCCACAACTGCTGCCTCTACTTTCACATTACTCACTCTACTGTGAAACACAACCATGGGAAACATACTCCAGGGAGATGACATCTGAGACTATGATGCAAATGTTGCCCTGCTGCTACTGGCTATACTGTTGACATAGGAGAGGAAATTGGAATAGAGACAGCAATTTAAATCACAGATTTATCCACATACTAATCTTGCTAAATTCTTTACAATTCTTCATTTAGTTTGATAAGAGTTTCCTGTGTCCTTCTCCTGCAATTCAGTTTCACACAGGGCTGCCCTGCTACCTGCTGCAGTTTTTGTAGTTTTATTTAATTAGTAAATTAAATACTACATGGGAGACAGGAGGTTATTAGCTGTTCTCTGTATTGCAGCTATGGCCACGTGCGAAGGTTGTGCTGCATCCATTGTGGGACCGCATCTGTTCTGGATGGATCCTACTTGGATTTACAGAAATCTAAATATATCCTCAACCATGAGAGGATTTTCCCAATACATTCCATGTTCCATATCACAGTTAGCTGTTGGACATTACTAATTATTACATTTTTTTTCAGTCTGGTGGAAGTTTGATGGGTTCTTATAAAAGGCAAATATAACTTTTTTATCTCAGCTCTCTATATTCAGGTATGTCATCAGGCCTAACCAGTTAGTACTGACCCCTGTATTAAAAATCCAAGAAAAATAAGCAGGTGATTTCTCAAGGCTGTATCTGCTACCTATAGCCCTCTTTGGAGTACATTTTGATTCTATCATTGCCATTTCGCCGTTTATAAAACAGACATCTTTTTCATAGTTGATTCTTTCACAAGTCATGAAACCGCATCTGCAAGTGGCAGTTTTCCTAGACACTTCAAGCAGCTGCCTACAGCCTTATTTTTCTATATACATAAAGCCTGTCCTCAGCTTCTGTATTTTACATTTCATAAATATACAAACAAGAAGGTAACCCAAGATAATTAAAATTTTATGGTCTTGTTCCAAACTATTAATTTAGAATCACTTTCTATGTCTTCTGTCAATCACAAAATATAGCAAAAATTCCATTCACTACTGTATTACTGAAGTCACACCGTTTGACAAATATCCAAATCGACAGTAAGGATGAGGGAAAGGGGAACACTAGAGTATTTGAAGATCCTTTTCTCTGGGTGTACAAAAACTCTAAATTCCTAAAAATAATGGTAAGATCTATACATCTTCCTTTAGATGAATAATAGGTCATATGGTACACACTGCATAGAGGCAAAGTTGCACCAGAAAGTTTTCCCTCTCATGTTACAAACCAAAATATGACTTTGGATTTCAGCTCAGCTTTGTAATTAGTAACTTAGCTGAGCTGTAGAAGGAATATGGTACACATCAAACCTTAACTTCCTTCATGCAGAGAATCTGCATATGGCCTCATGGCGTATGTAAAACGTACAGTAGTCAGCAGCTTTAGAGCTGTGGATAAGCCTTCTCAACCTAAGAATTTTTGCTATGTTAAAATAACATTAATCACATAAAAAAGCTACAATAGTAAACTCTGTAAAGGAATATTCTATTTAATAATATATTTATAATCCAGTGCTCTTGCACACATATACTCACAAAGAGTAATAATCCTCTCCTTTCCAAATTTAATCCAGAATTACAACCATGTAATTGTAATCTTTTAATTAATGGATCCCCTAGGCTGAATATAAATGGTTGGCAGGTAAAAGTGTAGAAATAGTAGTTACCCAAGTGTGTAAATAAAAACAAACAAGCAGGAGGAGATAAGAAGAGAAAAGCCAGAACTGGAGTTAAGCATGGTAGGGAAAAGCTGGTTTTGTTTCTTTGGACCGAGATAACCCAAGATATGAACACAGGCTGGGGGAGGTCACGCTTGAAAGCAGCCCTGTGGAAAAGAACCTGGGGGTACAAGTGGATAAAACCTGGACGTGAGCCACCAATGTGCAGTTGCAGCCCAGTAGGCCAACTCCATCCTGGGCTGTATCAAAATAAGCGTGGCCAACAGACTGAGAGAGGTGGTTCTGCCCCTCTACTCTGCCCTGGTGAGACCTCACCTAGAACACTGCATCCAGCTCTGGTGCCCCCAGCACGAGAAAGACATGGACCTGTTGGAATGTGTCCAGAGGAGGGCCATGAAAATGATCCAAGGGTTGGAGCACCTCTCTTATGAGGACAGGCTGAGGGAGTAGGGGTTTTTCAGCCTAAAGACGAGAAGGCTCTGGGGGGACCTCATAGTGGCCTTCTAGTACCTGAAGGGGGCCTACAGGAAAGCTGGGGAGGGTCTTTTTACAGGGGCTTGCAGTGAGAGGATAAGGGGTAATGGTTTTAAGCTGAAAGAATAGAGATTTAGGTTACCGATCAGGTGTAAATTCTTCAGTGTAAGGTTGGTGAGACACTGGAACAGGCTGCCCAGAGATGCTGGGGGGGCTCCATCCCTGGAGGTGTTCAAGGGCAGGTTGGATGGGGCTCTGAGCTGCCTGTTCTAGTGGGAGGTGTCCCTGCCCATGGAGGGGAGTTTGAAGTCAATGATCTTTAAGGTCCCTTCCAACTTCAAAAATTCTGTGATTCTGTGTTTGTGCAACTTCTTAATAGTCAGTCAGCTTCATCCTACCACTGAGGCAGCAAAGAAAGAAAAGAAAGTTTACCCCAAGAATGTGCCTAAGTTTTGAAACAGCCACCTGCCTTCCAATCAGCAATTTCCTAGTGCTTTTTCAGCTATGAGTCACAGGACTCGGACAACCACAGGCTTTTTCTCTTTAAGAATGAAGTTATCTCAATATACAGATCTTGACAACTTTCCAGTCTAGTCAGCACTGGATAGACTGAAAATGTTTCAATCTTTCTGATGGAATAAAAAATATAAGTATAAATAACCATGCAATTAAAACATTGTATTTCAGCTGTAATTCCTCAGGCTAGAACTCCACATGAAACATGACAGCTGCTGAAAATATTACACTTTAGCTTATGAAATGCAGACAATTATTGGGCTGCTGGCCATTATTTATATAATTCAAGCATTAAGTACACAAACACATGGATTTTTATGAGATAGATAGACAGACAGACAGACAGATAGATAGATATCTGTTCCAAATGCACCAGTTTCAGCTTGCAGCTGCTGGAGAAAACTGGGACATGGAAGGACTGATGCCTCACTGTGTCTTGGAGAAAACAAAGTTCTCTGTCAAATTTCATTAGTTCATCTCACTTGCAGCGTTTTTTATGCGTGAGGCTCAGGACATTA